TGTTTGAACTATTTTTGCATAGACTAAAGTACAAAGCAGTGAAAATCATTAATAGGCAATTGTTCAATGGGCTGAATTGCACAAAACGCATGATCGCACCGGCCAGTCTGGTGCGCGTTGCTATTTATCTCATATTGTGATCAGTCGCGTCTTCGCCATTCAGGGTTTCAGAGTCGACCTGGTTGCTATAATCTGCTCATTTCAAGCGTAGGAACAACGCTTAAATAGTATTGCATTAGTAAGGTACGGTATTAAAAAGTGGAAAAAGTACCAGCAAGTCCGAGATGACCCGGACAATCGTTTTGGGAAATGCCAATTTAGTGACAATTCTATTGAGATGCTTTCATTAGCCTGATTCAGCAGTGCCTGCTAGGGCCCCGATATTAAATTGCATACATCCATTTGGCACCCACTGTGCCTACTCCGATGGCATAAGTGGAGAACAACAATAAATAACGGTACTAGAATAAAGTTAGAAAATCCGGGAAGGCATACCCGCGGGTAAAGTGAATGCTCCCATTTCTTGAAAAAATAAAAATTTGCAAGTTGTTTATATAGGGCTAAGGTGGGAAGTGGGACAGATGCACGGATGGCCGAGTGGTCTAAGGCGCCAGACTCAAGCAGTGTGCTTCGCACGAGTTCGATGTGCGACTGGGGTGTTCTGGTATCGTTATCGATGCGTGGGTTCGAATCCCACTCCGTGCAAACCTCGTTTTACTTCTTGAAGGGCGCATAATAATTCCTTTTCCTCAATTCACTCGGATTTCTTGAATGAATTTTGTTGCAATGGATCTTATTAATAATAGTCAAGTCACCTGCGTGTTCAAAAATAAAATTACAACACCAGGGTCAGTATCCGGACAGTTGACATGATTGATTGTTACTCGCTAATTTTAATACTAATACATTATTAATTAATTTATGCGTAATTTTTCCTCCGAGATTTTCCATCTGATTTTTTTTTTTCTGCTCATGGGGTACCACTTGCGCCACCTGAATTTTGTTTCCTTTTGTAACCAGTTATGATGTCTTGTGAAATATCACTCAATCGACCGAGTGCCTGGTTTTATGCGGCCACAAAGAAACACAAGCACCTTTCGCTTCATCATTCTCTTCGTTCGCTCTCCCCAGTGACCACATTTGGTTTTTTTAATAGCAAAATTTAATTTATCCAATAATTTATTCCGAAAATTAGAGCTGAGTACAAGAAAAATGATACTGTGGATAGTTGTTCGCTGTAGAATTCCTGGATCTGGAAACTACCTACATCTAGCGTATTTCGTTTCGAGATCGCCATTTTGGCGCTACTGCAAGTGTGTCCTTGCGTCTCCCCAGTGCCCATTTCACTAATTACTGGACCAAAACAGAAAACGACCAGTTCACGAAAAAACTTTACAGAAAGTTCTGTGACACATGCGCAAATGGTTATTTGGTAAACTACTTTTGTGTTTTTGATGCTGTCTTTGTTACTGTTATTATCATTGTTTTTATTATTGTTTGTTATCTTTTATTATTTTTTATTGTTTTCTTTTTTTGTTTTTCACTATTATTATCATTATTGTCATTTATGACTATTGCCACTAATCATCCTGTCCGAAACAAAAATGACCAGGTCACGAAAAATTCTATAGGAAGTTCTCTGGCGCATGCACGGGTGGTTATTTGGTCAATTACATTTGTGTTGTTGATGTTGTCGTTATCGTTATTGTTGTCAGACTAATTGGATTTGCGCGGAACTGTGACAAGGTCGTGTAGGGAGCAAGGAGAGAAAGGGGAACTGAAGGTTATTACAATTACCTATGAATAATTATGATAATGACAAAGAACGGCACCGCTGCCTATATCCGCCTCCCATCCTCCTTCCATTCGCCGAATTTCACTTTTGAAGCTCAACAGAAAATTTGGTTACATGTGCATCAATGTATGGGTGGTCTTGAATTTTCGCTGACAACCACTTGACTAATAATGATGATTGTGAAAGTGATGAAAGCGATAATAAGTTAATGGCAGTAATGGGGATGATAACAATACTTGTACTGATGTTGCTAATGATAATAATGTTTTTGTTGATGATAATGATGATGATGATGATAATGTTGTTGTTGATGATGATGATTGGTAAGTATGTAACAATGATGTGACAGCGCATCAACAATACACGATGGGTGGTGGACGAATGATGGTACATGCCCAATTCGTAGGAGCACACAATCACAAACAGAAACAGGCGACAATCCAGAGCAGCAGCCGTTTGGTGTGTACCACTCATCACCCCCATCAGAGCATCTGTGGTGGTGGAGCAGGACGAAGAAGAAGAACGAAAAACTACTCCGTCGTCCAGCAGCGCTTTTCCATGCACGGCAGCAGCAGCCTGTTTGGGAGGACATTGTTGAAATTGCTGATGTTAATTGCCACTTTGATTGCTACCAAAAAAGGTAATCATCTTTGAATGGTTGTTATTTCTAACTGAGAGCATATTAAGCAAACACGAATGGATGGTGCAATGAAAGAATCCGCTTGATCATCTTCAAGTGGAGATGCAACTGAGAAGAATGGAGAAGTGGCCAACTGATTTAAGAAGGAACACGACGATGAAACAATTGCTCCTCAGAGTACTAAAGCAATGAAGACTCGATTTTGCTATGTTTTGGAGTATGACTTTGATACTGGAGACTCACTGCCCCATTAAGAAGCAAATCCAACGGCCAGCACCTCTTCCGTTACGTCCAGAGGTTGGCAGGATCATTGAGATTATGCTCAAGCAATGAGTAATCGTTTATTTTCCACCAATGGCTCCCTTCTGTGAAAAATAGAGGCCTGTTATGGGATTGGCCATGTAGCGCTAGGAGATTGGATTATCCCTTTAAGATGTCTAAAACAGTTAAAAACACCATCAGATAAGTTACGACCAAGATGCACCGCCGGTACCGTGAAAGAAAGTGATCCGATGGACGGTACGTTCTATAGTCTGGAAATGAAAAGCTTAGCAGCTAAGAGTGAAAATTTTACGAGGATGTTTTCTGCCCATGTACGATACTGTGAAAATACTAATGCTCATGCAGGTCTGCATCTCAAGTATGGATACGTGAAATCTAGATTTAAAAAAAAAGACATTTTTGTCTGATGAAACAAACAAGACAGGAAGCTAGAATTTCACACGGATACCAAATTACTGGAAACAAAATTTCAATAACGTGACCGGGAATCCCAAGAAGGAAAACCAAGTTTTAGCGTAGTATTGTTGATCGTAGGATCAATTTCAGATATTTTTTGAGATATTCACGTTAGAAAATTCATTTATCGCATACCCAGATCAGTGTTTTCGCCAGTTGTTTTGCAGTGATGGCAGCGTCATGGGATCCACCAGCGCAAATTGTTTATCAGGATGAGCCTGTACCACAAGGTCAGTGCATGCACAAAAATATTGTTATAGCTTCTTTCGTATTTTATTTTCCAGAAAAATGAGGTCAACAAACGAAAAAAAA